CATATTATAGTTCTTCTTAAACATGGTGACAAAATAAAATAAAACAAAATCTTAAAATTACTGCTACAACACTTGCCTCGTTGAAAAAAAAACCACCAACTCGCATAAAACCCTGATAATTAAGTAAATATTGCAATGGAAACGATAAGAAAAAAAATTATAAATAATATTATTAGTTACAAATAATTTTTTAATGAAATTCAAAAGAGTTGAGATCTCACTTTAATCAAAAGTATATTTTATCTTTGACTTATTAATTATAACTTATGCTAACTCTTTTTTTTTAATACATTGTTTTGAGTTATTTTAAATAGTACCAGATTTAATAGTTTTACTAACAAAAATTTTTGTTAATATTTGTATTAACATTTCGCTGGTAATATTTTTATTAACATATTTACAAATAGAAACCGTTCATCAATAATTTCATTTTTTATGACATTTCTATCAACAAAAAAAAAAAAATTTATATGCACACCACAAAAAAGTTATCCACTTTAATACACTGACAGAATAATTTCGTCAAGGATTTGTAGTGGTATTTATTGTAATTTTATTTTAACTCTTTATAAAATACCGATAGAATTATTTTTTCTATGATAGTGGCATATGAAATAAATTGTTTCAAACTCTTTGGAATATATCGACAAATGGTGTCCGTCGATATATAATTAAAAAATATTTTTTATAAAAATATTTTGAACAAAAAAAGAAAATAATTTTAAAAAATTGTATAAAATTGAAATATATAAAAATAAACTTGAATAATATAAAATTCAAATATTCATTAGAAATTTATATGTTCAAATAAAAATTAAACTAAAACAATAGTGGCGCTGAAGGAGGAGGAAGCCGATCATTCTTGGTACTATATAGTCAAAAAAAGGACGCACATGTACCACCCTTCTGTGATCTCATCATGTCCATGATCATTTGGCAAAGTTGTTCATAATCCATAAAGAGTTGCTTATATTTTTTGGTGAGATGAGTTATATGTTGTTGTAAGACCACGAACTTCTAAAATTAGATGCTCAATACTAATTGCGAGCTCCTAATAATTGAGACATTATAGGTCATCTGCAAGTTTTTAGTTATAGTGTTGGAGAATCCGTACACCTAATTTCTATTGGATCCTCTAGAAAATCTTGCTTCCATCAACAAATATGGATCAAAATCTAGGTGGGTTAAAATATTATTCTGATATCTCTTCCTCAAACGACTATTATATATCTCCTGGAAATAAAAACTAAAATCATCAAATTCAATTCAAGAAAATAATAACTTATGAAAGAAAATGATTAAACAAATATACCATAAAATAATAAGAGTGGTTATAAAAAAATAAATTTATTATGTTATTTTGTTAAGTTTTTCATCTAAATAGATAAAATTATATTTTTAACTTAAATGTCCTCCTACTCTTTCTTTTGCATGTAAGAGATTTTTCTAGTATTTTTCATTTTAATATCATTCATGCACGTTTTTTTTTTTTTTCAATCACATCCTTCCTTTAGTGTCACAGATACCATTAAAAAATGACATATGTTGTATCCCTAAAGCATGGAAATTTCATAGATACATATGTTTTACTCCCTAAACTTTTTAAAATTACTTTTTTCTCTATATTTTTTTCTTACAAAGAAGTCCTTCATAAAAAGCATTTTTTGGTCATTTATTTTATTATAAATACAATTAGTTATTAAATTTTTACATGTCAAATAATAAACTTTAATTATCAGAATTTTCAAAATAAATATATAAGAAACAAAATTTCACTAATATCAACCATAATCATAAAAATAATTACACCCATAATAAATTAAGCCAGTAAAAAAGAAATTATCAACCGGTTCAGGGACTAAACTATTAATTTGATATAGAATGCATTCTTATCATATGATATATTTATTAGGGACTACATTGTATTTCCTGTAAAATACAATGACTAAACAAATTCATGTAGCGACTTTTTTGTAAGAAAAGGTAAAATATAGGAACCAAATATAATATTTTAAAACATTTGATTCAAGAACGAAAGTTTTTTTTTCAAAAAGATATTACAGTTCTTCTTAAACATGGTGACAAAATAAAATAAAATCACTGCTAAAACACTTGCCTCGTTAAAAAAAAATCACCAACTCTCAGAAAAATCTTGACAATTAAGTAAATATTGCAATGGAAATGATTAGAAAAAAAATCATAAATAATATTATCGGCTGCAAAAAAAAATTAATTAAGTTCAAAAGATATGAAATTGAGTTGAGATTTCACTTTAATCAAAAGTATATTTTATTTTTTACTTAATAATTCTAACTTATGCTAACTCTCTTCTTTGAATATGTTGTTTTGAGTTATTTTATGCTAATCACACTTAAAATTTAACTCTTGTTTATGAAAAACAAAATAGCTCATTTTTATATTGTTGTTTATAAAAAAATAACTCTTAAAATATAACTTGAAAACAAGATTTCCTCCCCATAAATCGTGTGATACGGGTTCTTTGTATTGCTGAATTACAAAGGTTATTTCTTAAAACATTCCAGATGCAATATCGATGCCATCGATCAGCTACCCACGGATTCCATGAAAGTTCTTTATAGGGCTCTCTTAAGTTATTTTGATGACGTTGCAAATGAAGCTGGCAAGAATGGAAAATCCTTTAGTGCTGTCAATTACGTGAAGGAGGAGGTAAGATTTAGTTTCTTTTTTCCGGTGTCGTTTTGGAGTCCTTTCTCTCCTGCTGTACTTAAGTCCTCTTGGACCTCTCTCCTATTTTAAGAATTTATCTGTCGATCGTTCTATCCAAATATACTGTCCATTACTAAATTCTTTTGCGGATCTGTATGCTTGTATACTATCACATATATAAAAGGAATATCCACTAAAATTCTACTTTTTTTCTGATATTATGTTACTTTTCTTCTTGTTGTAAATACTATCGACCAGATGAAAGAGATGATAAGAGCCTACATAGTCGAGGCTCAATGGTGTAACGATCGTTTTGTGCCGCCATTGAATGAGTATGTGCGCAATGGAAATATCTCGATTGGTTTTATGGCAACGACAACAGTATTCTTCGTAGTTGAAACTGCAAGAATCAAAGAATTGGAATGGTTAACAAGTAAAGCAAAAATCTCCGAGGCAGGATGTTTGTTTCTCCGCCTTATGAATGACATAGTGACCCATGAGGTATAATTACTTTTCCCAAATTCAGCATTAAACCATCCTCTGAGCATTATAATTTATTGTTTTTATGGAGAGAAAAATGATTATTGTAACATCCTTGCTCGATCATATGTGAAGTTTGAACAAAAGAGGGAGCATTGTGCTTCTGCAATTGAATGCTACATGAAAGAATATGGAGTCTCCATGAACGAGGCAGTTAAAGAGCTTCAGAAAACATGTGCAGATGCATGGAAGGACATTAACGAAGACTGCTTGAAGCCCGCTGCCATCTCCATGAATCTCCTTAACGTGTGTGTCAACAATGCACGTGCAACAGACGTCGTTTATGAGAGCAATGATGCCTACACAAATGCATCATGCTTGAAGGGTCGCATCAGTTTATTGTTCGTGGAGCAAATACCCCTTTAAAGCTAAAATGTTGAGCTCCCACATGTCATGCCAATGAAACCATCGGTGTGAGTGCTGCAAAATGTTTCCTGTAATTAATATATTGAGAGATAGGACGTACCATTAATTAATAATCTCCCATGCATTGTGTGTTTATGCATTTGTGTGTGTGTATGCTTTCGGTAAGAACTAAGTAGTTGGTCAATGTTTTCTGTGATAAAATGAGAGACATTAATGCTCTACTCCTCTCTCTCGTATGCTATTTGTAGTATCCTACTTTAATAAAGAGTGCAATGCTTTTAGTAAGTGAGGCTACGTTAATATCCAATCTAGGTTAAGTAAAAGTACGTTCTTAGTATTTAACATCTAAATCTAATTTTTTTCTGCCATATAAAGGTAATGATCTTTTGGGTATTGCTAGGGGTATTATTTTTATTTATTTTTTACTAAGTTTTGCATACTAAATAATGTGATATCTATTATAAATAAAAGATTTTAATCATGTATATCTTAATCACATTTAATAAAATGTCAATTACATGATACTATGTCATATTCTTTCACCAAGAAAACTTGATATAAAAAACTTTACAGGCTGAATTGAACCCTTCAAAATCATAGAAATAAATGCTTAGAATAAATGATTTCACAAATTTCTCTACAAGATAGCTAGCATACCACAACTGTTTCTTTTCCATTCCAAAAATTGTGCATTTTAAGAAAAGATGCTTGTGTAAGATTAATGTCAATGTGTTAACATATAAACATAGCGGAAAATTAAAAGAATATATATTTTTTTTATCATGATTGACTAAGTATTGAATTGAAATAATTATCTAGAAATCTATGTGCAAATAAACAAACATTCTTCTAATCTATATAAAACTTTAGGGTTACTCAGTGTGGATGGAAACACAAACTTTTCATCAAATTTTTTTAACTAAACTAGGAAACCTTTATATATAAACTACTTTTGCTCATTCATCTATCATGGATGTTGTTGATCTACTACTAGATTCCAATGGGATATAAGCCTTAATTCTCATTTAATTTAAAATTTATATGATATATCGGCCACTTAACGATATTTTTCTAACATTCTCTTATTTAACTCATATGACATCACCTGAAAAGTTATAATATTTTTATAGAACTCAAAATATCTAGTAAGTAGAAATATTCACACTTGAATTAAAAATACAACATATGAATCATAGTGGTCACACTTTATAACCTATTTCCTTCCATATATTACAATATATTGTCCCAAAAAATAAGCACTTAACGAGCAAATAAACTTTATAAATGAATTTTCAGTAAGTCATTCGAGTCCAGCTTTATATATCCTAATAGATATAGAAAATAATATTTTATGAGCACAAAACATCACTTTAGTCTCTAAGAATAACATATAAATTGTCCAAAAATAACATATAAATTGTCTAGATAATCATCTAAAAGAAGACAAAGTCAAACATTAAACGAGTTAGATAGATCCATACTATCCACATGATCTCTATATTGTTTTGCCCACCACCCCTCCCTCCCCTGTTCATAAAACTAATTTAATGCTCCTATGATATCCTAAGTAAAATTATTGATAAATTGCACATAGAATTAAGATGTAGATCAAAGTACTTGTGAGATTGGGATCACAATATTATTAATTATTGTTGCAGCAAATTTATATGATATGATCGATGTGGTTCTTATGAAAGAAGTTTATATACTGATTTTTCAATCCTAAAAAATCTTTAATTTCTTTTTACCTTAGGGGTATTTAGGACAGTAGTAGAGGTTGCTTTCAAAATATTTTTTACTTTAAAATATATTAAAATAATATTTAAAAAATAATTTTAATATTAGCACATCAAAACAATATAAAAATACAAAAATTAAAATTAACTTGAAAGAAAGAAAAAATTAAAATTTCATGAAACGACACTGCCAGACAGACACTTAATAGTTTAAATGTTGGATAAAGTAAATAATCAATAGTACCACTCATATCTGAAGAAACTAATTCAAGATGTAAATGGCCATTTGAATATATTTTTTATTTGTTTTCTATAGGATTATCCTGATCTAATGACTTAGGTCACTAATTTGATAGGTTAATATAAGTTAACTTTATTTATAATTTAATCCTTATTTAATTAAATATTTTTTAATTGGGCTTTATAATTTTATTTTTTTCATTGCTTTTCATGAAATTATTATGATCTCATAACCTAGATTGTGTATTTGGTAGATTTACTTAGGTTAACTTAGTTTATTTTTTATCATTTTTAAATTGAATAGTTTTTTTTTTAATTCACCCTTTAACAAATCAATCTTTTTTATTTAGGTTTTTTTTGTTATTTTCATCTTTCAATATACTTAGAGAATAATATAAATCATATCTTAAGATTTCATCTAACAGTTTAAGCTATTGGATTGAGATGGTTCTTTGACGTGGTATCATAGCCTTAATGATCAAGAAGTCACAAGTTTGAATCTCACCATCCCTATTTATTTGATAAAAATTAAACACAAGGTAATGTGAGCCTGTGCAAGTTTCAAGCTCAAAGGGCTTTCACTTAAAGAGGTATGTTAAAGAATAATATAAATCATATCTCGAAACCTTACCTAATAACTTAAGCTATTAGGTTGAGATGACTCTTTGACAAATATTAGATTATTTGGAAATTGAACTTTGTATTTTTGTTTTCAATTTGTTTTATATAGAGTTATCTTGGTCTCATGCATTTTGAAAATTGAGCTTTATATTTTTTTTCTATCCCGACCTTATAACGCAGGTCGCTAGTTTAACATATTAGTCTAAGTTGATTTAGTTTTTTTATTTTTTAATTGATTTTCTCTTTGGTTTCATCTTTCAATATTAGATTAATTAGAAATTAGGCTTCATATTTTTTTTATTTGCTTTATATGAAATTATTTTAATCTCATGACCCGATTTGAATATTTGATAGGTTAGCTCGGGTTAATCCAATATGTTGTCATCTCAATATTTCAAAAACAAATATCATTTAATATGTTGTTGTATTAATATTTAAAAAAATATATCTTCTAATATGTATCATATTTTGAGTTTATGATTAAATTTATTTTATTAGAAAACATGTTAGCAATGATTAGATATTTTTTATTTTTACATTAAAAATGATTAAACTAAGAGGTGTGGCGCGCGCGCACTAAGAGGTGTGGCATTTTTATTATGGATGATTTTAATAGTTAAGTGGTATGTGTGTGTGTGTGGTTTTGTTATAAAAGTCATTTCACACTACTTTTTTATGAGCTCATGCAAAAGTAAATCATGGCACCATCACTTAATATTGTCTCATCATGTCTAAAAAATCCAAACATGATCAGGTAAGGATATCCTCGGTTTCAACAATAAAAAGCAGGATCTCCCAAACATCATTAGTCTCTTAGTGGCTCTAGGACATTCAAAAAGGAACATAGAGGGATTTATTCATGATTGACTAAAGTTCTTTAAGCTCATGTTCATATCTTCAACAACTAAGTGCACTTGGTTGTCATTAAAGGAAAAAAGTTTGTAAAATACCCCTCTCCCATAAAGAGTGATGCGAGCACACGACCCCAATAAAACTTGTCTTTTTTATCATGACAATGGGTATGATACACAGAACTATTATGCTCTAAAAAAAGATAAAAAGCTTGATCGCTAGGGGTTTAAATTCAACAATTCATAAAAAAAAAATACAATCTAAACAAAAAAAGAAAGAGATTAGTGCATCCTACAATGCATTGTGAAAATTTAAATAGTTTCCATGAATTGTATCTCCATTTTTATTATAAAATATTTTGAACTTTTCAATGAAAAAAGCAATATTATTTCTCCAAATTGTGTTTGTACTTTTTTCCTTAAACATTTCAATAAACTTAGTGTTGTTTATCTTTAAAAAAATCTTCATATCTTCAAGTCTCTAATAAAATTTCCATGTCTCTTTCTAGTAATTCTTTAAACAATTTCTCCATTGGTTCTCCCTTATCATTAATTATATGGCTCAATAAAATATCTAAACCCAACATTATGAAAACACAAAGAAAACCTATAAGCACTTCATTGTTTTTCAATGACACAACTGTCAGGGCATAAAATGATTGTCAGGGCATAAAATGATATCCACCTGCACATGAAAATGGTCTTCTTCATCTTGGTACACTATCTATTCTACACTATCTATTCAAAACTACTTGTTAGTTGTCTCAACAAGAAAGTATTTGGAAAAAATCTTTACATTTCTCTCCTAACAATTATAAAAAGAAAAAAAAAGAAAAAACAAGGAACTGTAAGGTGTCCCAAGCTGTTATCCTAACTTGATTTTTTACAATACATGCTCTTAAGCATTAATCTTTTAAATTACATGAAATTTTAACTATTAAAAGGGGTAGTTGATGGGATGTAAACTCTGAGTTGAAATTTTAAATAAATATGAAAGTATAATATATTTTAAGCTAGTTCAAATGAATATTAAATAAATTAATTAATAATTTAAATTGAAAATAAAGTATTCATGAAGGTTAGTCAATGAATACAAATAAATTTGTTCAAATATAGTATTAAATTTGGTTGGAACCTTGGAGAATTACTTGGAATTACTTATGAGATTTAAAACAAGGGAAAAATATAATTTTGAAAAAGACATTTCAATCCCTCCTTTATTTTAAACTCAATAGCCATGAGACATAAAGAAGAGCTTCCTTCATGTTTCTTCCTTGTTTTTTCTTCAAAATCTAGGTAAATCAAGTTAAGAGCATTATGAGTGAGATAAATAGAGTTTTAATACAAATATAAAAATCTAAGAGAGATTAAAGTGTGAGAAAATAAGAGCTAGAAAAATAAACCAAAGAAATTAGCAGAGGAGGGAGTGGTGGAGAGTAACTTAGTATGCTTATTTTAAGCACAAATGGGTAAAGTGTTCTTTATTAATTAGCTTGTTGATTTCATGAGATTAGGCGGAGATTAAACAAAATACTTAAATTTACTATTAGAGTTCTTGAATAAATTTAGAGGAATGATAAAATTGATGAAAATTGATCTATTTAGGATGAAATGGGGTAGAAAGGGAACAAACATTTTAAGAAATTAAAAAAAAATAAGAACTTGATATTATGAAGGACTTTAGGGCCAACCAATAAGGAGTAAAAAGGAAAGTAATTTGTTTGGTATAAATGTTAATTGACTGCGCGTACTGATATGTAAAATTATTATGTTGATGTTTGGAGATGAATGCTTTATTTAAGCTTAGTTGAACTTTTAGTATATTTTGAATC